GAAACAGCAAGTACTGCTTAATTAAATAATAAAGGGACTACATAATAATCAGTATGATGCACAGTACAGGATCATTCCATATACAGAGGCACCCAAACTATTTAAAATAATGTAACTAAAGAATAAATATGGAAAGAGAGGTTACTGCCTCAGTAGGTTAAAAGCCTTACCCAAAGAACAATGATCAAGGTTTAGAAAAACCACATGCACTCCTTGAAGAACAGGAATCAACAGTCCCAAAAAATGTCGAACCAATGGTGTCAATCAACAATTCTTTCTAAAAGAATTAGTATTAAGAGGTGGTTTTGCTAATAATTCAAAGACACATTTGATTAAAAACCGCTCCACTGATTTATTAACAGCTTTCCATGAAACTGTTAAGTGTGTACTCATTTTAAGATGTATGTAATTTACAAATTTTAAAAAATGAAAAGCTGCATCTTTAAGAAAATACAATGATTTGTCTTGATGATTCATTGGGAAACTATGTTAACATGAAACAAGATGTTTCATGAGAAAACAATTTGAAAATTCAGCTGAACTTTCTAAACAAAAAACAATCTGGGTGATAATATGCAGGTTGTTTTGGGTCCCAGGATCAATCCTTTTAGAAACAATATGGAATCCAAGACTATGTTAAGAAAGGTAATTTTTTTTTAAATCCCTAGCTCTGCTTATATCTACAAAGCCCTCCATCCAGGTAATAACTCTTCTAGACTCAACTGCCAATGACTTACAACGTTACTCATTAGTCATACATTCTCAACACACTCCAAAATGTCACACTTTGGATCTTGTAGAAAGATAGTGTCTTAAACAGAATGGTCCAATTTTTTTTAAAGCTGCAATTATCAAGTATTTATGAAGAATATTGTTTTACAGACCATATGTTAAGAACATATAAGCCCATTCATTTCTATATTCTCATTTTACGAAGCCAGGTCATTCTTTCATTTCATTTACAATAAAATTTCTTCTAAAGAGCTGTCTGAGAAAACAGGTTTGTGGTTGCCAGGGGATAGAATAGCAGAAGTTAACTACAACAAAGGAGCATTGTGGTGAGTTTTGGGGAAATATGGAACCATCTGTAACTTTAACTTCATCAGTAGGTACATGGCCATGCATATCAAAATTGTACAACAAAAACATGTATCTTAACTGCATATAAAAAAGTTTTCAGTGCTGTCTCCAATTTCTGTATTTCCATTCTCTTCTCTTGAATCTTCTTGTAAAGTTTATGCCTCCAACATTATCAAAACCTACCCCTGTAAAAGTCACCAATGTTTTCCACATTGCTGAATCAGACAGACATTTCTAAATCTGCATATATTAACCCTCTATTCTTTAGACACACATGTACAGCTTCCATAAGACACTCATGCTTCTGGTTTTTATCCAGCTTTTCTTTGTGGGATTCTTAGCCATCTTTGCTTGGTCTAAGCATCATTTCCCTGGTCTGTAAAGTTGCCATAATCTCTTTTCCATATGCACTCATCTAGTATCATGATTGCATGACCTATAAGCAGAAACTGCCTGCTTAACATCTCTTTAAAATGTCTAATAAGGAGCCTAAATTAAAACATTCACAACTAATTTCCTCTCCCCATAGTTCTTTCAATGTTCTTCCTTCATCAGTGTCCATACAATCCAAGTCTTTAGTTTTCCATACCAAAACTGTGATGACATCTTTCAATCTTCTCTTAGCCCTCATACTGATCTGTGAGCAAATCTATCTACATTAGATTAAAATTCAACCACTTCTCACTACTCCTGTCACCTCCCTGGTCCTCCCTCAAATGACTGTTTGCCTAGATAATTTAACTGGCTACTCATTCTCTGAATAATAATGTTAAATACAAACAAGATCCTCACTCCTATGCGCAAAAGTCTCTGGTGGCTTCTCATCTCATTCAGGTTAAAAGCTGAAGATATTCAATAGCTTAACATACTCTATATGCTGTGTTCAACCCATTCATTTTCTCTTAGGCCATCTATTCTCCACTATAGCACCCTCAGTGCACACAACAATGCCTCACGATAAGTTCTTAACAAATATTTGGTGGGTGTTTTTTTTTTGGAGGGGGAGGATCTTATTTATTTTTAGAGAGAAGGCAAAGGAGAAAGAAAGGGAGGGAGTGAAACATCAATGTGTGAGAGAAATGTCAGCTGCCTCTCAAACATCCCCAACCAGGGACCTGGCCTGCAACCCAGGCATGTGCCCTGGCCAGGAATCAAACTGCTGATCTTGATCATTTGCAGGCTGGTGCTCAAACCACACTGAGCCACACCAGCCAAGGCTTAACTAATATTTGAGAAAGTGACTATCCTAAACTGGCTTCTAGAAAACAATTAATCACAAATTACATGATCAACAACAGATAACAAACCCAAGCTATCCTTACAGATGGAAGACTGGAACAAGTCTGGATTTTTTCTAGTATAGAGACTATTGGGAGCTTTACCCAATAAAATCAGAAAAAAATAAGCTGAATAAATAATCTACCATGAAAAGTGAATCAGTTTTCAAGCTATTTACTGCAAAATAAAAATCAGACCTTGCATCTATAATGGATGTTATTTGAGACTACTACAACGTCATGTTTGTTGTGAGGAAAACCATAAACATGAATTTCCATAGATGAATTTATCTTGCTATTGTTTGTACCGTAATAATCTGTTCCCCTTGTTAAACTCCATTAGTCTCAGTAATAATATATGGATCACTGTAAGAACAAGTCAAATTTAACTTCAGTAGATTTTTGTTTCTTGTTCCTTGGATTATTAAACTATCAACCACATTCATCAATTCATCCCTGTACTCTTTTGACACATACATACACTTTATTAAAGGTGCAATCTTATCCTATTTATCTAAATCGTACCTTCTCTGTTTCCTTGCAGGGAAAAAACTAAAAACATTAGTTTCCTGGATACTCTTTCAAAAGTTCTTGTCAGCTCTCTTCCAAAAAGGCAGTCTGGGTTCTCTAACTTTTTGCCTGAAAGGCAGTCTTTAGTCATTACAATTCTCATACTGAATATTCACAATTCACTCAACTCAGTAAGACTAACTTGGCAGCATTCTAGACCTGAGTAATCACTAGTAACAAGTGGGTAAATTAAACTGAAAATTCAGCTCTTCAGCCACATTAGCCACATTTCAAATGCCAAACAGCCACATGTCGGTAATGGCTACCACACCAACAGTGCAGATAAAATATTTACATCATCAAAAAGTTCTACTCAACAGCACTGTTCTAGTTTGTTGCTTCCACAGACTTCTATCTACTACCTCTCCTTAATTTCCAAAGAGCACCTTGAAGACTATTTTTTTTTCAGTCTAAAACAAACCCATAATCCTTACAAACCAACTTAACTTGTTTAGTATAAACTAATAGTTACACATCTCCCAGGATCACAAAGCAGAACGGCAAAACTATAAAAAAACTAAGAAACAATAATAAACTTCAAAACTGTCAATATCAGATAATGTATCCAAAAAATTATGAGCAAAAAGGATAAATGACTCATGGACATGGACAACAATGATGTGATTGCTGGGGGAACAAAGGTGTATGAGGATTAAATGGTAATGGAAAAAAATACAATAAAGACTAAATTAAAAAATTCAGAAGTTATATCCAGAATATATAACAAAGTCTTACAACTCAATGACAACACAAAAATATAAAAGTGGGTAAAGGATCTGAATACATTTCTCCAAAGATAAACAAATAGCCAATGAGCACATGTAGGCTCAGCATCCAGTTTTTAAGAAAACACAAATCACTACCACAATGGCATACTAATCCTTGAAATGGAATGGCTTAAGTAAAAAACATAATAAAAGAAGTGTTGGACTGAAAGGAAAAGAAATCAACAGAGACAAGAGGGAAGGTGGGGGGGCAGGGAAAGGGAAGGGAAGGGGAAAGTCAAGGAACATATAGCAAGGACTCATGGACAAAACCAAAGGGGAAGAGCCGAGGGAGGGAAGGAGGGAGGAGGCAAGGGAAAGTGGTGGGGGGGAGGCAGAGACAAATGTATTTAAAAAGTAAATAAATTAAAAAAAAAAAAAGAAGAAGAAGAAGTGTTGGCAATGATGTGAAGAAAATGCAACTCACATACATGGCTGATGGCAGCATAAAATGGTACAGCTGCATTGGAAGACAGTATGGCAGTTCCTCAGGTTAAAACACAATTATCTGAAGACCCAGCAATTCTACTCCTAGGTATATAGTCAAGAGAAAACACGTGCCCATGCAAAAATGTTTATACATATGTTCATAACAGCATTATTCAAAGTGTGGAAACATTTCAAGTGTCATGAATTAATGAGTAAATAAACGAAATGTGGTATCATCCATATTATAGAATGCAACTCAGGAAGGAAGTACAAATACATGGTATAATATGGCTGAACCATGAAATATTATTCTAAGTGGAAGAAATCAGTTGCAAAAGACACACTGTGTGATTCTACTGATGGTAAATGTCCCAAATATGCAAGACCTACAGATAAAAAATAGATTTGTCGTTGCTGGGCCTGGGGATAGATGGTTAGGAAATGATTGCTAATATAATGTTTATTCCTGGGAATGATGGAATGTTCTAAAATTAGATCATGGTCATGAGTGTACAACTCTGAATATTCTAACTTGAATTGTATACTTTAAAATGAATTTTATAGAATGTGAATTATATCCCAAGAAAGCCAAGTTTAAGGTGGGTGGAGGGAACCAGAGCACATGCCTGGGTTGAGGGTTTGGTCCCTGGTCAGGGCTGTACGAGAGGCAATCAATCAGTGGATGTTTCTCTCCCTCTCTTCCCCCTCTCTAAAAATAAAATCTTTAGGTGCACCCCATCTGTCTCAGTCAGGTTGGCCTCCTGCGGTCTCCTGTGCAAATAGCTCCGTGGCTTAGCACCCCCCCATCCCGCCACCTGATTGTACGCTGAGGTCCACGAGGGGTTGCCACTGAAGTTTCTACCAGCGCATAAGCAAGAGCATGGCAGCCACCCCCTCCAGTGGCTCGCTCGTGGCTACCCATGACTACTACCTGCGTCACCTGGGCACCACTTCCACTAACAGCTCCTGCGGAAGTGCCGAGTGCCCTGCGAAAGCCACCCCACACCACCCTGGTGTTCCCAAGGCCGACCCGGGTCACTGGTGGGAGAGCTTCTTTTTTGGGAAGTCCACTCTCCCGCTCATGGTCACTGTGTTGGAATCCCCAGAGCCCTTGAAATCTCCCCAGGCCTCCAGCAACATGATCACCTGTGACCTGGCTCAGGAAGCCACGAGGAAGCCACCTGGCAGCCAGCCCAGCAAAGTCAAAGTCAGGTTTCTGTCCTGAGTGGCCGCCAGGCCCGCCCAGGCTTCCTAGGCTCTAGGCTCTTTTGAGCCCCTCCCCCTCCTCACCTGCTCCCAGTAGACTAGTCAGGCTGCAGCAGCAGAGGCAGCTGGGTTCTTTTATGTCAAAACACCAGAACACCAAAAAGGATGTTGTGAGAGCCCGGTTCCTCACCACTGCAGCCCCATACGAAGCCTCCCTGATGCCCCCCTAACCCTGAGCCTTGCACCAAGTGGAAAATAAACAACAGCAGCCATGTAAAAAAAAAAAAAAAAAAAATCTTTAAAAGGGGGGAGGCGGGGGGTGATGAAACATCATAGAGCTCAACAAAGTCTATCTGTATGAAAGAATGTCCTAAAATACAACAGATTCCTAAAACAGCAGAGGCCACCTTTGAACTAGATAGTAATATAACCATAATACCAGAGCCATACAGCAGATTATCTGGTCCAAGTTCTAATGTGTACCCTTCAAAAAATCTCTCCCAACTACAACAATCCAGGACACAACAGAATAGAAATAAGAAAACAGCCCGGCTAAGTGAAATAAAGAACATATCACTGTCAAAACTTGAAATCCAAATATAATCAAGTTTATGTTGAAAGAATTAATCTATGCCCTCATCTAAAATCCTCCTGTTAACTATAACATAGTTAGGTTCCCACAAGATACAACCAACCAATAAAGGGACTCTGAGCAAATGCAAAATTTTACCTTATGCCTAAAATGACATTTATAATGTCACTGTAAGTGACACCAAAGGAGCTTTTCCAAGTAGGCAAGAACCCTCTTGCTCTGAATCACATGGCTTTCTAACCAGGTGCAATGCTGCTCAGGAGTATCAGAAAAATGCCAGTGGGGCAGGGAGAGGGGGAATGAAAGATGACAGCTCCTCAAATCACAGTAAGATCCCGTTAATCCAAAACCTAAAGCTTTGTGCCCTGGCTGGTGTGGCTCAGGGAACTGAGTGCCTGCCTGAGAACCAAAAGGTAGCCAGTTCAATTTCCGGTCAGGGCACATGCCGGGGTTGCAGGTCAGGTCACAGGTTGGGGGCACGTGAGAAGCAACCAATACATCTCTAGTACATCAATATTTCTCTTCCCCTCTCTCTAAAAGTAAATAAATTAAATCTTTAAAATATAAAAAAAAATTAAAAATAAATAAAACTGTGCCTAGAACAAAATAAAGGCTCAAGTATTAGTTAAAGGAATATGATGGTTAGGTTCTTTCACCCATCTTTCATTTCAATGGAAACTCTCCCACCACTGTACAAACTATTTTTTCTCTACTTTTGATTACACCTTTCTGGAAAAGACCTGTAGGGTAAAAATCAACAAGAAACTTGCTTGTTTCCCACACTTCTTAACAACTCAAACCCCCTAACCTCTCTTGATGTAAACTATAATGGCATAATCCTTGTCATAAAAGATAAAATCTCAGCTGTATTTGACTCCTTCCCCAAAGCACCTACTTGCAAAACTTTAACCCAATAAATCACCAAGACCAGTCTACCTCTCCATTCCAACGATTACGATAACTGCAATACTGACACATCCTCCCCACCCCGTTTCTCTTTTCTAGCCATGGGGCTGTTTCTAAAGACACAGCTCCTTAATATGCCATATAAAGCCCTTTACAACCTTCATTCTTTCCAACTAAAACTGGCTGCTTCCCCAAATACAGAGATAGTCACAACTCTGCATCTTTATTAAAACTGTACCCTCACCCTATCTGCCTGCCTAAAAGCCCCCTATTTATTACACCAAAAGCAAGTTCAAATATAGCCCTTTGTGAAACTAAATGGGGCTCTTTGAATCTCAACAGGGAAGCTTATAGCTACCCAAAGGGCAACACAATTTACCTTTCGGTGAGACAACCTTGTAAAATGCATGATGCGTAGTAGCCCCTGTTAATTTCACTGCACTTTCCTCACTGTGTATTACCTGTCATACACATGTTGTATTTGGTCTGTGAGCTGATGTATTTCAGTCCTCTTTCTAATCATGGTATGCTGGTATATACTATACCACCTATATTATTATACTTCCTTATAATGAACAATAAGTGAATGAATGAAAATTAATGTGAAAAGATTTTAACTACAGAAATTTAAGAACCTGAAAAAGAAACTATTGAAAAGTATTTCAAAGGAACTGCTCACAGAAGAAATCTCTTGCAAGAACTGCTCCAGCAACAATTTTCCTAGAAGCAATAAGACTCTTAACTGGACATAAAATAGAATTGGATCTTTGTCAGGAGCTTCTAAGTTTATCACTTTCAACTTCAATAAATTGTGTTTTGCACACAAGGGTGACTTAGGCAACTATTCAAGTTTAATATATAATATCCCCATGAATATTCATCCTAAAAGCAAAGGCTACTTTGGGCTTATATTTCTACAACAAAAAAATTATGTTTGTTAATGAAGCTTTGGATAATTATAAACTATGTATGATAAAGTTTATAGAATATTTGATACAGCTGACAGTGTATCGGAATGTCAGATATTAATAATCTATTTAAAATGGTAGTTTCACATTCACTGAAAATTTCAGTTAAAATCTGGTAACAGCTTCCACGGCTGTAACATAAAGAATAACTGCAACAACTAGAATTCAAAATTCCACAAGAAAAAGAACAAGTTTTCGGTAACAAAAAACTTCCATTAAAAACTCTTCCAAACTAAGGTAATCTTTAATAACTTCAGGTTAAGAGTTCTTAACTCCCCATCCCCAATGAAAATCAGTAACCTTATTGCAGGTGCAAGCAGCACCAGCAGAATCTAATTCTTTGTTGTTTCCTTCTCAGAATACAGCATTATTAAAATATAAGTAACTGAGATAAGTTTCACTGTTTGATTATCCTCCAATTTTAAAGGTTTTTACAATCTTTGGGATTTGATCACTAAGACCCCTTAATATCCAAGCAAAAATTCAAATCACTGCAATTCTCCTAACAAAATAATCATTAATAACTTGTTTCCTGGTATTTAAAATTTCTGTTTCTCCTTACAAAACACCCAATGCCTACATTCTTAAAGTTTCTGTCAAAACTCAGGCTAATAATGTTTAAAGGGCATTAATACCTTTATGAATTATTCTGGTCTACTCTATTCCACCATGTCAAAAAAGAGAAAATAATAATAATAATAAGAGTAATAAAGTAACCAGAACCAAAATATGATCAAGCCTCCAAATCTATCTACTAATTCATAGTATTTAGGTGGTAGAGGAACATGCTGAACAACACAAAATACAACCTGCAGAACCAAGTCTGCAAAAATTGATCAGATTATTAAGTGTAGTGTTTGTTTATAAAAGTGGTCATTATCTTTCACTGCTAGACTATTGTTTTATAAACTATATTTGAATTGAAATGTGCCACAATAAAGTAAAGAAATAAAATAAGTATCAAAAAGGGTATCTATAAAACAAATACCAACCATTCTTCATTTCATTATGCATTACTTTGAGAAACAGTTGTCACACACAAAGAACCCTAGTATGTGTTAGTTCTGGGGGGAGCAACAGTGGGGTGTCCATGATTTCCTTCATTTTGATATGTAATTAGTGTTAACAAAATATGTAGCAGTAATAATGTATGTATTAATAGGGTTAGTAAAAATACTAATTCAAAAATGTAATTTTCATTAACATTAGCATATAAGAATTTATGAGGCTCTGGCTGGTGTGGCGCAGTGGACTGAGTGCCGGACTGTGAACCAAGGGGTCACCGGTTCAGTTTCTGGACAGGGCACATGCCTGCGTTGTGGGCCATATCCCAGGCTGGGGGTATGCAAAAGGCAACTGACTTATGCATCTCTCGCACATCTCCCCCTCTTTCTCTTTCTCTCTCCCTCTCTCTAAAAATAAATAAAATCTTAAAAAAAAATCTGTGGAGAGTTTGATAAACAGGAACCCTCATGCTCTAAAATGATTGGGAATTCTTGATTGTAAGTAATATTTTGGGGGTCACTTATAATGCAATTTCTTATCTTTTATGTTTCCTTCAGTCTTCAGAGCAACTGTATTAGTAGGCACTATTATTTCCATTTTAGGGGTAAGAAAACAGATTACACATATGACTTTGGTCATGAGCTTCTCTGCTGAATGACAAGCCACTAGATTCCTCATGTGTTCTTTTCTCTTTTCCATATTAGCTGCCTTTCCAACCCCAACAACAGGAATTAGACCTCAAGACCCCAGAAAGCTGAATAAAGAAATCATCTTAAGTAAAGCCCAATCTGTCTTGAAATATTTAGTATGCGAATTTTATATTAAGAACATGACCAAAGAACCAAAATGACTAAATAGACAATGATTTAATCTCCACTTACACAGCCAAACTCAGAGCTTTCATAGCACTATCTCAGAGTCAATTTCTCATCTTCTTAAAAAAAAAAAAAAAAAAAAATTATTTTTAGAGAGGAGAGGAAAAGAAACTTCAATGTGTGGTTGCCCCTCAAATGTGCCCCCCTACTGGGGACCTGGCCTGCAACCCAGGCATGTGCCCTGACCAGGAATCGAACCAGCGACCCCTAGGTTCACAGGTCAGCACTCAATCCACGAGCCACATCAGCCAGGGCTCTCATCTCCCTTGAATAAAGACTCCTACATAGTTGATTTAGGATCACTAGGATAATAAAAATCTTAACCTTGTCAATCAAGTATCTTCAAAACAACTTCTGAGAGGAAAACAAACAACATTTTCCTAAGTAGTTTTTCCATTCACTAAACCTGTTCATTTTCCCACCACAGATAATCGTACTTGAATCAGCTCTTTACCAGCTACTACCTGCTTGCTCCATTTAGCCTTCAGAAATTTTCTCTTGCCTCTTTTAAAACTGAACAGTGAGTTGCCACCAATTTTTACAACCAAAAACAGTGATGTGAGGTTTTTTCTGCAAACATCTAAATTTCTTCACTATTTCTTGCTGTATCTCTTTTTATTAAATTTGGTGAAATTCCTCACATAAAGTAAGTTTTTCCCAGATGTATTTACAGTGAGATGATAGGGATGGTCAGAGTTTTGCTGCCTTACTAAGACAACTGAAAGAAAAATTTCAGAGGACTATTACCATGGAGGTAGAATTAAACAGTTAAAAGTTCTATACTCATAATTTCAAACAGTGGTTTCTTATGCTGGAGTCCATGATACCCCAGAAATTACAACCCAAAAATTGTATTAAAATTTTCCAAAAAGGAGTCATGAAATCAAGGAATAGGGTTAAAGTCATAGAAATAAAACTACTTCCTTCTTCTTTGCTATCAATGATTCTCAACCCTGCCTGGACATTAGAATTCCTTGGGGGCTTTAAAAATACACCAATAAGGAGTCTACCTAGAACAGCTGTATAAAAATCTCTATAGGTGTAATTGAGTATGAGTATCTTTTAACTGCGGCCAAGAAAGGGGGACTGGTTAAAGAATAGCTGCTTCAGACAAACTCAGTAGGTTTCAGGGCCTTCAAGTCACTCCACCAGTGACCAAGTTTTCCATATCTGCTCTCCCAACTGTTAAGGTCTGTCCATTTTTATATTTTAATATTTTCAAAGTACAAAACCAATTATTTTTCAAAATGTGTTCAAACATAAAAACACAAAGAAATCTCAAAGAACAAATGAAATAATCACCTGATGATGCATAAAAGAGACTCAAATCATACAAATCAGACCCAAACAATTCTACCAGTCTTATACTTTTGTCCTTTTAATAATTAGCTATTACACTCTCCGTAGTATTTCAAACAGAGGAAAAGCATGCTCATTTATCAAGTCCAATGTCTGAATATGCTCAAATACTTCTATATAATGCATAATTTAAAAAGTACCAAACCAACTATACCTAATGTTGCCTTGACATTCATGAAGATTAATACATCAGAATGCCAATGTCATACCAAACCTTTTTGCGTATCATTATTCCTCAATAATTAATTCCTACATCAGATCTAAATCCATCATTCAAAAGCCATGCATAACCTATCCCTACCCATACATCTCCTGATTTTATTTCTAAGGACTCTCCAACAAATATTAATGCTGTTCTGAAGGCACAAGGAGAAAGCATAATCATTATTCCAAATGCCGTATCTTTTAGAACTATATTACAATCCCCACTCTGTAATACAAATTTAACACTTTAACTCCTAAAGCAATTTGTATTGTTAACTTATTATATATGCAGATTGTATCCTATTTTGTATTAGTTGGCTTGCTTAAAGGTCACTATCAAATATTTAAGGGTAGGAGTAATTTTTTAGTTTTGCTGAAATCCCATACAATGTAAAGCCAAAGTGGGAAGTATGCAACAGTGAATTAACGAAGAGAATATGGAACTGTTATTACTATTTAAGTCCCATTTCATCATTAGGCAAGTCAGTCAGTCCTTTTATTTGGCATACAAATTAAAATAAAAAAATACAACCTCCCTGTTTCAAGAAAAACATTAGTCCAGAAAATACTGGATATGTTCCAATATGGCTGAAAGATATACTGATTCTTTGAAATCAACAGAAATGTCACTTTACCTAGCCTACCTCTGACAATTTGCAGGGAGATTTTGGCAGAAAGAGGGGACTTTGTTTGAAATACGTTCATGTTGTTCATTACTACAAAATAGAAAAATAAAATGGTTCTCACTAGGTGGCTTTTTACCAAGATAGACAAAACAAAACACCTTGAACATACCTGTCATAATAATCCCGCTGAAAGTCATAGTCCAAGTCAAAAGAGGAGCTGAAAAATGAATACCAAAAAGTATTAATTTGGAGCTGTTAACGTCAATTCACAACAGCAGATGGGAAAAAAAAAAACCCCATGCCAAACCAACCACAACAAACAGATCAACAGATTAGCATGGAATAACCCACAATCATTCAAATAACATTACTAAATTTCAAGCACTTTATGCCACTGAACATGCAGTGACCAAATAGCAAATGTATGCAAAAGTTTGCTAAAATTTCAACACACAGTGTAATAGCTAAAATAAGAACACTGAAAAATTACAACAGTAAACTACACATTCTTAGGCCATCGTCTTCCCTTTCTTATCACCCAACTTCTCAGAAGCTAAACTCTTGAAGAATTTTAAGTTGTGCTATAAATACCAAACTACTCTTTAATAGTAAAAAATCTCAGAGAATTCTAATAATTCTCTGGGGAATGGGTGAAAAGGAGGTATATTAACAAAAAGTTAATAACGCATTACTTTTACACAGAAAAACATATGACAGTTAACCCTCCCCGCACCCAGAAAAACAGATAGAGAAGATGCCCACTGATGGACACAATGCAGTTATAAATAATAAAGTTCCGGACCTGAGTAGAGGGGACGGAGAAGGGTGTTCTGGTACTGACCCGTACATCTCCGCTGCAGATCGTTTCACACCTGCTTTTCCTCGGTTCACTTTTGGCTCTGCAGCCAGATTAATATCTGAAAAAACAAGAACAAGAACAAAAATTTTAGTGACAACTCTGCTGGGCTTTTAAAAGTATACACAGTCATATAAATCAACAAAAATCTAACACTGTCTCCCATTTTTCCTTATCATATTAAAAAATTTCAAGAATTTTTACACGGCTAGGACTTGATCTTCCATCCTTTGTCCACTGTTCTCTAGCAAAAAAAATGTCTGTTATTTATAACACATTGTCTTTGGTACATTCCACCCCTCAGCTCCTACTTCAATGAACCTATCATCGTTTAGAGAACCCCATTCTGTTCACTCAGTTACTATCACAGGGGAAAAGTATCAATAACTAATGGCTGCTTTTCTAGGAATGATTCTGTGAATTTTAAATAAGCAGACAAATATATTAGAAATGAATGAATGACAACAGAGATTTTATATGGCAGTTCATCAATTTATATGGTTCCTGTCTGGCAAATTTTTATTCTTACAAGTAGGATCAGCTATAAAGTTGCACCAAAAAAATGCTTGTTAAGAGTATTATGCAGCCATGATCAGTTGCTTGAAGCATTGTCCCATACACCAGAAGGTTGCAGGTTCGATCCCCAGTCGGGGCACATATAGCAAGCAACCAATTGATGTTTCTCTCTCTCTCTTTCTCTAAAAATCAGTAAATATATCCTCTGGTGAAGATTTGAAAAAAATTGTATATGCACATACAAAAATACATAGCAAGAAAAGGGAAATAAAAAAGTAAAGGGAAACCCTGGCTGGAGTGGCTCAGTGGACTGAGCACCAGCCTGTGAACCAAAGGTCACCAGTTTGATTCCCAGTCAGGGCACATGCCTGGGTTGTGGGCCAGGTCCCCAGTAGGGGGCGTGTGAAGAGGCTATTACGTATGATGTCTCTCTCCCTCTTTCTCTCTCCCTTACCCTCTGTCTAAAAATAAGTAACTTAAAAAAAAAAAAAAAGCACAGAGAAAAATCCTAATTTCCATACACAACATTAAAGTTTAAAACACCTACTCCAGCAGCCAACTACTTACCCTGCCACCCACTGCCTACCAAACAAGAGTTCAATGGGTTTCCTTCTTTAACAGAAGAGGCCATTTTGTCAAAAACCAGTTAGCCAAAGGCTAGCTCTCCAAACCTCAGTCCATCAGATTACCAATTAAAAAAGACATTTAGTACATTGTCTATTTGCTTAATACACAATTTATTAATAATCTTCAGTTCTCAGTTCACTAAACTCATTTCTAATTTTTAACATCTGAAGTTTATAACCACCTTGATTTTAAAGTTTTGACTTTGGAATCAAACTTTTTAACATTAAAGACAGAATTAAGAATTTTAAAAACCAATTTTAAAATGTAAAAATGAAAATAGAACTACATCAAAGTTGACTATAAAACCTTATTGATTTCATGTGATTTTAAATTACAGTACTGAGTCAATATCCAGCACAGACTATAGAAATTGCATTTAGTAATTTTAATTTTAGTAAAACTACAGGTTTGGTTATTTTTAAAGAGTGGCACGAAGTGCACATAAAATTATGTTTTCTTAAAAAGTGTTAAGTACCCTTTAGGCTGCTCACCGATAGCTAGTATCAATTAAAGTATTATACTAAAGTATATACAGACAGTGGTTTCTAAATAAATGCCATTAAAAGGAGCCAGGACTCTGGGCAAAAGTGGCAAATCCCAGGTTGAGGTCAAAATACATATCAGATAACCTGGAACATCTTGGGGTACCAGAAAACAAGGAAACAATACATTAATCCATTAGGACGGTCTCAAGGACATAGGAACCAAGTTCAAGGAGATCCACTGGCCAAAGAAGATATTTTGAGCTCTTAGGTATGATTTGTAATGGACTAAAACACCATCTATTTAAAATACATGAATTCATTATGATACTAAACAAAAGCAATTACTATATTTAAAGTTTGCTACAGTATCAATTATACCAAAATTTGAAAAAGATTTATCCTGCCTTTCCAGTGTGAAGAGTACTTTGTTGTTTTTTTTTTGTTTTTAGATTTTATTTAATTTTAGAGAGAGAGGGAGAAAGAGAGTGAGAGAAACATCAACTGGTTGCCTCTTGCACATCCCAACTGGGGACTGGGACCACAACCAAGCCATGTGCCCTGATCGTGAATCGAACCAGTGATCTTTTGGTTCGCAGGCTGATGCTCAATCCACTTGAGCCACAACAGTCAGGGCTGAAGAGTATTTCTGAAAAATCAAATATTAACAAGTTCAGTTTACAAAAATTACAGTTAAGTGCAACAGGGATTAGAAAACCCACTACTTGCAACTCTCAATGAATTACCTAAGCATGGGGAACTTTATCAAAGACAGGTGATACATTTTTTTTAATTATCACCAAAAATGGAAAAATCATGTTAAGCCATCTGATGTGGTAGTATGAAGTACATAACACTATCCATTAAATATTTTCAGCAAACAAAATAGTATCTGAATTAATCAAGCCTTTAGATTTGCAGACTCCAAGACAGTAAGCTTCTAGCCAGAAATGGCAACTGAACATTTGAAACGCATTATGTCTGAATTCAGATATGTCTAAAGTATACACACTGGGCTTTCCAAGACTTAGTATGAAAAGAGAATGTAAAATACCACAATCATATTTTTCAATGATTACATATCAAAATGACAACATCTTGAGTGTACTGGGTTAAAGTATATTACTAAAATCATTATCACTTTTTTTTAACTTCTCTTAATATAGCTATTCACAAATTTAAAAAAATCACATACATGGCTCACATTCTGTTTTTATTGGACAGCACTACTCCAGATTATACAAAATAGGGGTAGGGAAAAAAATGACACAAGGAAGCAATCAGTTCAGACTGTGGGAAAATAGAAATTTCTCCAACAGATTAAATGCCATAAATTTTTTTTAATGTGAAAGGAAGTGCTGGAGAAATTAACAGATTTAAAAACATCTAAGAGGCTATTAACCCAATGCATATGTAGGTATGTATTGGATTCTGATTTAAATAATGACAAGTTGTAAAACAAGTTTGAAAAAAGGAAGAATTCTGAATATAGATTGAATGTTAGATGTTATTAAGGAATTATTATGAATAGTTTCATGTGGTAAGGGAACTGGGGTTTGCATTTTAAGTCTTTATTTGCTAGATATATACTGGTCTTTTAAAATTAAAACACTCAAAAAATTTTGTAAGAAGAGAAAACGCTGATAAAAAATAAGATTAGCAATGTGTTGGTATCTGTTCAGCTAAGTGAAATATACATACCATATATGCTCATTTTTCTCTTGCTTTGGTGTTAGAAAATTTCTGTGACAGGTAAAATGTAATTTTAAAAACCCGGCTTTATTTTCAGCACTCTCACAAAACTTGTCTTAGTTCACTTCTACAACAGTTTTACAAATGCCAAAGTTTTATATATTGACTTTTCCTGTACTTTGAGTGAAGGACAAATGAGTATGAAAATTTCTTCTGTATTCTCAATTACAACTGCTTCATCTTAAGTGTTAAGGATTATAAGGTTCTTTGCCCTGGCTGGTGTGGTTCAGTGGACTGAGTGTCAGCCTGTGAACTGAAAGATCACCACTTTGATACCCAGTCAGGGCACATGCCTGGGTTGCAGGCCAGGTCCCCAGTTGTGGGTGTGCAAGATCCATGTTATCTCTCACACATTGATGTTTCTCTCATTCTTTCTCCTTCCCTTCCCCTCCCTGTAAAAATAAACTAAAATCTTTAAAAAGAGGATTGTAAAGTTCTTTAACTGTCAGTATTTTCCCCTCCCAATCCACTGGTATTGGGGTTTTTATCAAAAAATAGCATTTGAGAAATATTTATAAATAAAATGTAAGTTATAAAAAATTTTTATTCTAGAAATAAATAGCTATAAGTCACTGCCCATCTATAACCAAAACTCAGAACCAAAATGGTTTCAAAAGCTGTTGAAACTTTTCTATACATTATTTGTTATAAACATTTATTAAATGCTGTAATCATTATAAAATGTTGAGGTTCTGAGATCTATTACAAAGAAACATCAACATAGGAATGCTTAAGGGGGAAAAAATTTACTCCAACCTGAAGAGAAGCTAAGTGCTGATGAAGCTGAAGGTGGACTTTAAATTTGTTGTACATTATGCATTTTAAAACACTAAATACAAACGCGTGGAAAATGTTGAAAACAAAAGAAAAAATTTAAGCCACCAGAGTATTCCAAAGACTAGAAATGGACTTGTCTTGTAAACACTTTGGCTTCCATAATATTCACATCCCAGAAAATATAAGCTATATCAAATTATATGTCTGAAAGGAAATCCTAGAAACTCATAAGCAATTAATAAACTATTCAAAAGCCCTGGCCAGGTGGCTCAGTTGGCTGGAGCATCATCCCGTACACCAAAAGGCTGCAGGTTCAATTCTGGTCAGGGATGCAACTGATTGACAATGTTTCTACCTCACACTGATGCCCTTCTTTCTATCAATAAATATATCCTTGGATGATTAAAAAATTTCAAGTAAACGAAATACTGTAATCATTATGAGCAAACTTAGGATCTTTAACAGTCTTAATAGGTAATGAGATGTAAAGTTTAGAATATAAACCATCATCTGAGCAGAGCTCAGATCTCATTTCTCAACAACTGAAAACGCTACATAACAAAAAAGACCGGTATTTGGAGAACTACTATCTAAAACTACACAACCAAAGTTTACACTGCTAAAACATGTTAACAGTTAAGTATCTTTTATGTAGAATAACATGCTGGACCTCTATCAGAAGCTTTTCATTAATTGTCTCAGTCCTTTAAATTTATCTAAATTATCTGGACAATCCCAAGTATAAACTCTGAGGTACTGTTAACTCCATTTTAACAGAAGAGAAAATTTAAGGCTCGGCCAAGCTACATAAACTGCCCAATATACAATGTGAAGCCCCAATGCAGAGCCAAGCGATACGACTCAGGAGTCCACAAGTAAAAAGGCTATACTGTCTTCCCCCGGTCCACTGTGAGGAGGCGGCACAGCGATTTATCAAGGCAACAACTGTACCTTACGAGGTATCATTCCTACCTCCATCTTACTCAGGACTACCAACTGAGGGTTCTCCAGGCTCTACTAGTCAACATGGCATAACAAATAAAATCCATATTTAACCTATTATATCTATAAACCTAACATTTTCATTACGCTGGTCAGCCACATCGTCAGAAAATCTCAGGCTATTAAAATGATGGCATGGGAGAGAAAACAACACATACAGTAAAGTTCTTGTATCTGAATTGCATAATCAATGAAAAAATTAACCCAACCCAGATCTTACCTAAAACCTGGCCAGCAATCATTCTGCCATCCTCTCCTGCCACTGCAGCCCGAGCATTTCTCTCATTAACATATTGAACAAAGGCAAAGCCCTTGTGAACAGAGCAACCCACAATTTTGCCGTATTTTGAGAAGATAGCCTCCACGTCAGATTTCTTGACCACAAGAGTATTAAGATTTCCAATGAATACACGGGAGTTCATGGAGCGAGGATCTGTCTTGTTGGTAACATTGCTGGCCATTGTCTTTGATTGTAAGGTTCCTCACAAAGCCGAAACTGGAAGGAAAAAATGCATAAAGGTGAAAATATGCTAAAAACAAAATATTCTTTGATAAAACTTTTTCTACTCTTATTTTGAACCACTGTGACTAGATTGCAGTAGCAGTCAACCTCAGTCTAATGCTATTAGATTCGAGCCCCTGAATATGTCCCCTTACAGAAATTCAATTTTCCCTTGTCTAGTCTATTTGAACAGTGCTAGACTATCATTTCAAGGGGACAAAAGAATCATCACTGCTTCCTGGCAACACAATATTCTTGAACATTACAATTCCAAGTGACCCCTCTGTCTTAAAGGCCTCAAGCAAATTAGAACCCCCTAAGCTCTCTACTACCGATTTCTATTCGTTTTTCTCCTTCCCAATCATGCTAATCTAACCATTGCTTGCCATCTATCAATAATTCCATTTTCTTGCACATTGCTTTTACTAGAACTCACTTGCTCTCCCAAAGATATGTAAAAACTCCAAATTCTGTCCACAAACCATTTAGCTAGATTAATATGGACAACTGATACCATGCCCTTCAAGTATAATTGACCTTATCAAACAAAGGCAATAAACGAACAAATTCATTCACTCTGGAAATATATACATCCAGGTACTTCAATTGATTTACAATATGCCAGATACCTCAAATATAATATTATCTTTTTATAGAATGCAATGGCTCTTTACTTCCTTTTTATGTAATAACTTATAAAATATAGCTGGGACATTTAATAATACTGGATGGCAATAATAAACACTGCATGAAATCAAAAGACCACAGGAACTAAGAAAGAAAATACAAATTTCCTCAGACTACTTTGAAACAAAAATTATCTTTATGTATGTTAAGTTCAATCTTAACGTTCTGGCATTCTTTTAGCTTTTATATCAGTCTGTTTCCCCTTGCCACCCAACCACCAAACTCGGTTATTATGATAGACCCACCTTAGATTTAGAGTAACAGTCTTAAGATTAAAGATACGAATGTCTAATGTTATTTTTCAATTCCTCAAGAGAAATCAGGACAAACTAGTTCTCGTGGATTATGTTAAAATGTCTCACCTATACAGATATAATAAAGTATGTAGTTATGTCAATTATACATGACCCCTCCCATTCTGACCCTTAAAGTACCTAGTCACTTCACAAGCAGTACTAATGTGAAAGCTGTAAGAACTGCTTGCCCCTCCTATCTTTTCTGAAATTCAAGACACAATCTGTCTATTCTATTGTTTCTAAACTGTATCTTTATAAAAAAAGTAGTTCCTAATAACTTTTTTTAGACTAAATAATAAAAATTTACACAACAGTGGGCACTGAGAATCAGCCACAGCCTTTCAATCCAAGTGTGACTTGCTCAAAATCCTTAAAAACACCGATAATTAAAATACAAACCTACCAAACCAGGGCTATTCTACATGCCACCAGCATACTGAACATAAGGTGAAAACACCAAACAATAAACATTAAATTTATATCCCTTTCATGTATGTTTGTCCTCTTCACATATATTTCTTTGGACCACCAATAAAAAATGGTTTTAAATGACTACTCAATTTTCACAAATATGCTATATAGCTTACACCAAGTTAAACAGAACAAAATTCATCACATACAAAAAATGCCTTAGGGTGCAATTTTCAACCTCTTTTATCTCATGGCACACGTAAATTAATCACTAAAATTCTGTGGCATACAGATAGTTTTGTCAATTTGAACAACAACAACAAAAGGTAGAATTTTGATTCACTCATGCTGGATGACTATTGTTGTGCTGGCTGTTGTCATTTTTTTGACAATCTAAGGGAAAAGTAGTCAGGACCCCCACCTAAATAGGTATTTCATGTTTTATAATTCTTATGGCATGCCAGTGTGCTTTGGCAAATTGCTGCCTTAAGGTATCAGGGCTTAATTCTCTCAAGGGACCCCATTTGAAAAGACTGGTAGAGAAACGCCCAGGTATACAAAATATAAAGGTGCTGGACCCTGGCATGGTAGCTCAGTTAGTGAGTGCATCATCCCAATACGCCAAGGTTGTGGGTTTAATCCCCAGCCAGGGTACAGACAAGAATCAACCAGTGAATGCATAAATGGGTGGAATGACAAATCGAAATCTTTCTCTCATGTAAATAAAAATTAAAACAAAAGGTGCTAACAACGGTTGTCATTTCTGAATTTAAGGGTAGGGTTTTATTTCTCATTTTCTTGGATGATGTGTGGTTTTCAAATTCAACACAAAAAATCATGAACTGTTAATGAAATAATGCAATGATCCCAGTTTCAAAAACTAGGCTAAGGTCAACAGTTTAGCTTTCAATGCCCATTCTTACTGTAAGGATTAATCAAGATATGCGCAACAGTAAAGACAGATGAACCCCAAAGACCCATTAACACATCCTCCTAAAGAATTAAACAAGAGTTACTACAAATTATTTTTTTTCACTGAACATTTCTTGAGTATCTGCTAAGTACCAGGCACCAGGTATTTAGGGGTCAAACAGGAACAGATGATTCTAGTGGTACTGTTGTTTATTTTGAGAGAGAGAAAACGAGGGGGAGATAAAGAGGGAAAGAAACACCAACGGCTTGCCTCTTGCACATTCCCAACCGGGGGCTTGGCCTGCAACCCAGGCATGTGCATGCCCTGACCAGGAATTGAACTGGCAACTTTTCGGTTTGCAGGACAATGCCCAATCCACTGAACACCACCACTCAGGGTGGTCCTACTGTTTAAATTTTTATTAAAGAGAGAGCACAGATTTCCAAAAGTTTTAGAAATAACCAAACAATCTAGGGTCACACTTCACCCTACCCCTGGTTGTTAAGGAGAGAAAAATGTCAATACCCTAAATGCACAAACTACTGGGACTCCTGGAAGAAAGCAGCATGGCATAGTTTTGGAATCTTTCTGAATCCTTACATAAAAGCAACCAGATAGTAAAGCCAAAAACCCAGGGACAGTATTTAGAACAAAACTTGGTGTCAAGGTATCACAGCCCAAACTCCCAAAATACAAGATGGTAAGGGCAAGAATATGCATGGTTTATCACTGACTGAGGAAGAAGCAACTAGGAGCATAAAAGACCTAGAAAATGAAGAGTCCCAAAATATCCAGCTAGTATTTACTGGAAAGAACCAATTTTAAGAAAAGGAGAGTTTTGTCTGTTCCAATAGTGAGTACAAGATACTGTAGTAAAGAAGTTTGATGGTGCTAGAACAGCTTAGTCTCTACAAAATCTCAAAATTAACACAGAAGACCCATGTGCATCATTTCATTCTCAATCTTTACTATCTCCCCAAAGTAATTACTACTCTATATGTATCCCTTTCTTCCTTTTTAACTCTATCACCTAAATGTGTATTCCTAGAGAGTACAGCCTTACCCATTAAACATAATGTCTCTTAAAATTCTTTTTAAGTTCCCCTTCCATTCCTTTAACTTAAAATTTACACGCTGAAGAATCCAGAGCATTCAACCTGCAGTTCCCAGTCTACATTTTCTGAAATTTCATACTCTTAATATAATTCCATGTTTTTGTGTCATCTGTATATTCTGAAATAGCAATCTGAGACAAAAGGCTTGTTTAGACTCATGTGTGACCCTTTTGTATATATCTTTTTGTGATGATGAAAGTTCTACCTTACAGATACCATGATGTTCCAAGTTTATTACTTAGACCTCATAAGAATAGTTTCTCAGTTCTTGTATAGTATTATAGTTTGCCTGTATTCCTTGCATTGTAAGTCAGTTTTGCTGGGTATAAAAATCACTGGATCACATTCTTTTTCCTTAAATGTTCTGCCATTTATTTCTGGACTGTCATAGGATCGTTCCGAAGTGTAAACCTTGCCAGCAAAGTTCTATTTTTCCCAACTTGGGTAGTAGTTACAAAGGTTTTTGTTTTATAATAACTCGATACTGTTTTGTTGTTTTTTTTTAAATAGACTAATATAAATGGTACAGATCTAAGTGAGTATTTTTGAGATTGCCTCATGGGTCATAGAAGTTTACACTTTGGAATAACCTGCTCGGATAAAAAGGTCAATCTCTCCTAACTTTATAAAGTACTAGGAAAGGAAGAAATGGAGAGACTGCTCTGACCAGCTTAAAAATCCAACCCAAATTGTACAGTCTTAAAGAAAAACATCAGATTTCAAGTGTAAAAGGTGCAGAAGGAATGAGTCAATTTTTGCTTATCTTACATAGATATGTAGCATAGTTATATTCTACATGCATGTTTTAAAAATAAATTTTTAACAATTCAGTACTCTAATTACCAGTAATTGCAGTCTTTAGAAAATTTACAAATCATTTTAAATGTGGAAATAATGATAAAATGTTTAAGTCAAAAAGCAGTATACATAGTTGCACAATGCATAACAGGATGCATATATAAATTATGTGCTTAGGAAAGACATGGCAGAAATATTTTATAATGCCCTGTAAGTACTCTGTTTCTGGTTAATTATTAACAATTATTAAAAATCCTGGTCTTTAAAATTTGTTTTAGAAAACAATTCAAATGTTTTGAGAAATGTACCAATATATGCATTGATAGTCTAATAATGCTGTTAAATAATGAAGTGATGTTAATCTAAATGAATTAGTTTCAACTTTACATCAAAGTCTGGTATCTTGATGGAGAATAATGCCCACTTCATGGACATAGTATATAAATTCTAACGTCTCCCACTTTTTGAGCTAACAGAAGTTTCTTGCACATCCTATATACGCTAATTCCTCAAAGACGAAAGTAGTCTCATTACAGCCTCTGTTTTCTCAGCAGTTAAAGTCAAATTCCTTTTAAGACAAATTCATTATTTCTTAAACTCAGCATTAAATAATAAAGTGCACAGAATTAAAACACAGAATTTGTTTCTTCCTGAAAATTGGTTTGAGTAAAGCCAGTATGTAAAATATTTCTGAAATGGTTATGTTCCCTGGTTACTCTACATCCTGTTTACTTGTGGAGATCAAGATGATAAGGTTTCGGAAAAACAGAATTC